CGACTTTAAGCAAACCATCACCCATCATGTCCCCCCCCCCAAAAAAAAGAACGAGGGGAAAAAGAAGAAAGTTGGAACCTGTAAAAGGAACAGCTGGATCGATTTCCCCCCTTCCCCGTCGCTTGTCAGCAAGACGCGGGAACGAGTGAATGGCGCGCCCGTGCGCGTGGGTTATTTTTGGGGGGCGTGGGGGGGAAGAGAAAAAGAAACCCGCCTTCCGTTTTGCTCAGCGAATCCATTCCACTTTTTTTGATCCACGACGCCTCCGAAATTTTGCAGTGTTTGACGGACTCCTTCTCCGGGATCTGCCGCAACAGCCCCGGAGAGCCTTTGAACGAAACGAGACTTTCGCCTTTGTATTAAAAGAGACAAAAAGACTTTTGCTGCTGTGAATAAGCCGACTTTTGTTTATTTTTTTTTTTTTTTTGTTGGTCATGGGGTGGTTTCGTTTCTTTGTTTGTTTTTCTCATCTGACAAATGCTTTAATCTTGGGATTGGAAGGTGCCGGCAGTTTCCCGCGTCCTAGCAGAGTGCAGCCTGAATTACGCTCGGGCGGGAGGCTTGAGCAGAGTCCCCATCTTAAGACGCACGTATGCACACCCACACAAAGACACACACAAACACACCCACACACACATTTTTGGTGGAGAGAAATCGGAAGTCCCTCCGTCCCGTTTGCTCCCGTGGCTCCTTTTCTCCCAACTTGTAAAAGCCAGCGTGGTTCGGCTGGGGGATTCTGGGAGTCGAAGTCCACATGTCTTTAAAAGTTAGTCAGGTTGGGGAAGGACCGGCTGCAAGTGTGCAATGCCTCATCAGCCACTAGGGGTGCAAGGAATACGGGTAACTTGCCCCCCCCTCCCGGGGGATCGGACACCGCCTTGGTGGCCATATTACAGAATTCTCACGGGTTAGAAAACACCTTGGTGAGTTTTGGAGCCGCCAAGAGCCAAGTCACGATACTAAAAGGATTGGGGTGGTTGGATGGCGGCGAGGGAGATGTGAGGCCTGTCGGAAGCCAGTCACTGACCGTAGTTTGCTCATAAGCCAGAATCCGTTCCGTCCTACATCCCAGCTTGTTTTGATAGGCGGAATTCCGAGGAGCGACGGCTGTTTTGTAAGGACCATCCTGTACCAGGATGAAGGAGCTGCAGTCCCACAAAGCCTTAAAGCAGGAATAAGTCGTGCATAAGCGAGCCACGTATTCTTGGCTTGTACAGTTTGCTTCCCGCCCCCCCCCACCTCCATGCTGGCTTATTTTGGCCCGCTTTGATTGCAGAGATGGGCAGGACAGAGAAACGCACCAGGATGACGCCAGGAAAGCCAAGAAAACCTAAGTTTGCATTCCCCTTTTGCACGTTTGCCTAAAAGCCATATCTGCAGCTGAGAAGCTGAGAACAAAACAAGCCGGGTTTCAAACTGAAGTTTATTGGCCTAAACCAAACCTTGGCTTGTCCCCCACCCCCCCTCCACACACACACACACACACACACACACTGCCTGAACATTTTTAATGATGCCAAAACCAAATTAAAGCAACCACATTCTGACTTAACCTAGTAAACTGTCCAAATTCTCCTTCACCATTTCACTCTTCTTCAAGCACAGAAGGGAAATGTGGTTTCTCCCCCCCGCCCCCCCTCTCTGGTATTCAGACTGCGGCATCCTGTCCTAAAATTAAAGTATTAATTTGCAGTACACTAAAGGAAAAAAAAAATGTATTAATTTTTCTTTTTTTAAAAAAAAGCTGTTATTATCCATTCTAATAGCCATTGTAAGCATGAATGTTGAAAAAAAGGAGGAAAAGTACATTTAGGGGAGTTGGGTGGGAGACTGATTTAAGCAAACCGTATAAATACAAAGGAAAATTATTATTAGAAATTTAAAAAAAAAAAGGAATCGGTTACTTAGGCAAAAAAAAAAAAACACGCGAAAAGCACGAAAAAAAACCCTGCTCAGTGAACTAACTCGCATGATGCAACTTTTGTCTAAGTTTGAGGTCTCTGCCCTTCTTCCTTTTTGCAATGAATGGGTTCGGCTCTTAAAAGTGCAATGCAAAAAAAAAAAAAGAGAGAGAGAGAGAGAAAAAAAAGGAATATTGATTGTGTTTATGCAGTTATTTTTTTAATGTGAGGTTTTTTTTTTTTAAAGAAATTGCTTCTTTGTATGTTTTTTTTCCTGCAGTTATTAAAAAAGAAACATATGCATGAAATTAAAATTTTTACCATACATATATTAACTAACGGGCATTATTAGTGTCTTATGTAAAAAGTACATAAAGGTTTCTTCCCCTCCACTCCCTCTGACTCCCCCCCCTCANCACCCCCATCACTCTCAGCAGTTCTGGGGAGACCCCGCTAACCCTTCTGCTCTGCTCATCTCGTCCCCACCAGATCGAAGACCTCCAGGTGAAGCTCCAGCACGCGGAGGCGGACCGAGAACAGCTGCGGGCCGACCTCTTGCACGAGCGCGAGGCGCGCGAGAACTTGGAAAAAGCCGTCAAGGAACTGCAAGAGCAGCTCTGGTCAAAGCATAACGACCTGCCCAACAGTGCGCACACCCCGAAAGACCCCGAGAACTGAGACCCCACCCCATCCCACCCCACCTACACACCCCCGGCTCAAGACCGGCGGAATCCTGCCTGTGGCCCGATCCGTGCATAGTAAGCAAGACTGCGTGGAAGAGGCGTTCCCCATCCCTACCCCTGCATGTGGCTAAAGACCATGGATCCATGGTTCTTAAATCGGAGGGCAAATGTTGTTAACTAATAACGGAAAGCACTGAAATTCTGCCTCTTTTTTTTTTTTAAGAAAAAAACAAAACAAATCCGTATAGCACAACATTTTCCTGTGCCTATAACGTGACAAAGTGTTTATAAATCTACTCTTTTGAGTCTGCAGCAAAAAAGAAAAAAATAAGGAAAAAAATTTAAAATGTATTTTTCTTTTCTACTTGGGGGGGAAGGGAAAAAAAAACCCCTATCTGGTCAGCAGCATTTGTGGAAATAAGGGACAAGCTTCTTCTAGGGCTGCTACAATTGTGTGTGTGTAACCCCGATAAGCCCTTTTCTTATAAGCTATTTCAAAATGCAAATCGTTGAAAGCCGAGATGACATATTCAAATCATTGACAAGATTTTCTTTTTAAAATACAAAAAAATAAAATATATTGTATATGAATGCTGGGGCCAGGGGGTGGGATACTTTTGATGCCTAGCGTGTAAATTGGTACAGGTGTTGGAAAGTGTTTCAGGAAAGAAAATAGCCATGAATGCTCTCGAACCAAGGGATATTTTTTAAGGAGAATTTCCCAAGTTTCGGGATTCCCCCCCCCCTCCTTTTCTCCAGGATTCAGACTCTTTTTTTCCCCCCTACGTTGGATCATTAAAAAAAAAAAAAGCTAGTAGAGGGATAGAGATCTGTCCTAAATCCAGCCTTACGAAATTCAGTGTTTTGTTCCTTGCAAAGACTCGCTTTGACTCCAAAGCACTTCCGACTTTAAGCAAACCATCACCCATCATGTCCCCCCCCAAAAAAAAAAGAACGAGGGGAAAAAGAAGAAAGTTGGAACCTGTAAAAGGAACAGCTGGATCGATTTCCCCCCTTCCCCGTCGCTTGTCAGCAAGACGCGGGAACGAGTGAATGGCGCGCCCGTGCGCGTGGGTTATTTTTGGGGGGCGTGGGGGGGAAGAGAAAAAGAAACCCGCCTTCCGTTTTGCTCAGCGAATCCATTCCACTTTTTTTGATCCACGACGCCTCCGAAATTTTGCAGTGTTTGACGGACTCCTTCTCCGGGATCTGCCGCAACAGCCCCGGAGAGCCTTTGAACGAAACGAGACTTTCGCCTTTGTATTAAAAGAGACAAAAAGACTTTTGCTGCTGTGAATAAGCCGACTTTTGTTTATTTTTATTTTTTTTTTGTTGGTCATGGGGTGGTTTCGTTTCTTTGTTTGTTTTTCTCATCTGACAAATGCTTTAATCTTGGGATTGGAAGGTGCCGGCAGTTTCCCGCGTCCTAGCAGAGTGCAGCCTGAATTACGCTCGGGCGGGAGGCTNACGATTTAAAATGGAAAGAATAAAATATGATTTAAAATGGAATTGGAATAAAACACGATTTAAAATGGAATTTGAATAAAACACGATTTAAAATGGAATTGGAGTAAAACACGATTTAAAATGGAATCGGAATAATATACGATTTAAAATGGAAAGAATAAAATACAATTTAAAATGGAATCGGAATAAAATACAGTCTAAACCTGGAATGGAATACAAATAATTTAAGATATAGATAAAATTTGATAACAATTATATTTTGGTGTCACCCTTGCAATCTACCTCAATCCGTCCCACGTATGCAGATCTCATCCGAACCATTTTGTTTTAAGTCCTGTGCTGTGTTAAATGTTATTTTCCCTTTCTGGCTGCACCTAAAGTAAGTAGTTTTGATGGGGGGGATCCCAAGGGGTCATTTGTTTGATATAAGGACCAAGGTACCTGTTTTATACAAGCAACGATCAAACAGGATGTGAGCGGAGGACCTCTGCCGCTCCCCAAATTTATATTTTGACAAATGCCTCCACGGGTACGTTTGTAAATGAAAGATTCCAAATTCACAACAAATGCGTACAAATAAGTTTCCCAGAGTCTCTTATTAGCGAGCTGAGTGGCTTATCAATGTCATGTTATCGATAAAATTAATATTTCACTCCCCCCTTTCCATGATAATTCCTCTCTGGGAGCATTTCCAGCCTTTGCATCTGGAAATTGGTCTGTGCATGCCTGTGCAGTGTGTGTGTGTGTGTGTGTGTGTACAATTTTGATCGACTGGTTCTAATCTCCACCTGCATATACCTCATAGGGACAAGCCACAAATATTCCAGCTATTTGATTTATGAAAAAACCCCAGCAAAAATTTTGCCAGGGGGAGAGATCCTGTAAGTACCATGATGGATGGCTTCTTGCAAACCTCATAGTTTTTAACACTGCTGCTCACGTGGTTCTCTGAAGTGGGAAGAATAATGGGGGGAGGGAAGGAAGAAAGGAAGGAAGGAAAAAAGGAAGGAAGGAAGGAAGAAGGAAGGAAGGTGGGAGAGAGGGACAAAAGGAGAAGGAAGGAAGGAAGGAAAGAAGGTGGGGGGGAGAAAGGAAGGAGGAAGGAAGGAAGGCGGGAAGGAGGGAGGGAGGGAGGGAGGGAGGAAGGAAGGTGGGAGAGAGGGAGGGAGGAAGGAAGGAAGGAAGGAAGGAAGGAGGGAGGAATTTATCTAGTCTAATGAAAAAAAGGACTGGGGGAGACATGATAGCAGTGTTCCAATATTTGAGGGGCTCCTACAAAGATGGGGGGGGGGTTTCAAACTATTTTCCAAAGCACCTAAAGGCAGCACAAGAAACAATGGATGGAAACTAATCAAGGAGAGAAGCAACGTAGAACTGAGGAGAAATTTCCTGACAGTGAGAACAATTAATCAGTGGAACAGAATTTGCCTCCAGAAGTTGGTGAATGCTCCAACACTGAACATTTTTGAGAAGATGCTGGATATCCATTTGTCTGAAATGATACGGGGTCTCCTGCTTGAGCAGGGGGTTGGACTAGAAGACCTCCAAGGTCCCTTCTAACTCTGTTTTTCTCTTATACTCTGTTAGATGAAAATTAACTCCTAAGGCGAATGGACTTGCTGCTCCAGTCCTTAGCTGGATAAATTCCTAATTCCGACTGCTGGAGGAAGGACATTCTGCAACCCCCACTTCGCTTTGAAGAAATGGCATCGGCTGCCAAGCTGATGTGGCCATGAAAATATGTGGAAAGAAAAATGAAAATAAATAAATAATTTCTGGTGAGGCTGTGTAGACAGAACTGGGCGGAATTGGAGGGGGAAGGCGGACTGAAAAAATATTTGGTGGACGCCAAGATGACGAAGATCAAGAAGAAGGAAGAGGGTGGAGCGGTTTGACAACTAAGGCTCAATTTTCTAACAAAAATATTATTCCGTTGACATGAAAATACTGATTATTTCACACAGGAGGCTGCAGCAGGACAGAACTAATTTGGTCTGGTCTAAATACAGAGGAGAAAAGGAAAAACAATTTTTGGGGGGAAACATCAAGGCAATTCTGCAGGGACAGAGAAACTGGCATTTGCCCATCTGTGGTTGAACACATCTGCAATTCCCAGCAGTGCAAAGGTGACATGAGGCATGCTGGGAGTTGCAGTTTGAGGGTTGGACGGCTATAAGATCATAGAGCCGGAAGGGGCCTTGGAGGTCTTCTAATCTGACCCCCTGTTCGATGGCTGGGTCTCAACGTACAATTTTAGCTGCCTCTCATTCTGCCTTTTCCAAACCGGCAACAAACTCTTACCCCAAAAAAGAACATTATCCTTGGAGGTCGCTTTCAGGAAGTGAGGGGAGCTGAATGTCAAGCGTTTCCATGCTTATTATCAAGTTGACATTGAAAGAAAGGGAGGGAGGGAGAATTCCACACATACCTTCGACCAGGGTCGGATCTCAGATTTCTACAGCAGGTGTATGAGGCACGAAAGTTTACAACCTGCTGCAGCACTTCAGTTGGTGGATGTGATTTATGACACAGACTGAGGGGAGGGGAGACACAGGGGTAAAGGAAATAAGATCTGACTCCACGGCAGAGTTGCTCCTAATAAATGATTGGATTTCTTTTGAACTATGTTGTAAATTAATTAGGGCATCTGACAAGGTGGACTTCTTTTTAATTAATTCTCAACCTAAACATGGTTTAAATTCATGCTGGGAATATGGACATGTGCAGAGGCAAAAAACATATTGGGCAAAAATTTGCATGTGGTTGGAAATGATACAGCAGCATATTGATTTAAAGCCGGAACTGGGTATTTTACCAGAGAAATATAGTAAAGAAAATGTATATTTAATTATGCACGTAATAACTGCAACTAGAATTGTATTTGCACAAAATTGGAAAAAAAAAATCCCTCCGAGGGAGAGGTCATTAAAAAAATATTAGACGGTGCAGAAATGAACAGATTAACATTGGCAATCAAAGAGAAGGAAGAATCAGTATTATAAGATATGGGGATGTTTTTTGTCACTGGATAGAAAACAAATATAGAAAAAAAAAGAGAAAAAGAAAATTGAATAATTTGGAAAAGAACGTAGAATTATTGGGGAGGGGTTGAATTAAAAGGCAATTGAAAGGTAAATGTAAAGATAAGATAAAAATAGATTAAAAATGATGTAACTGTTAAAGATGATGACACAAAGATTATACCCAGATGACACACTCTGATTAATGATGTAAGAGTGGTTATGGAAAAATAAAAATAAACTTTTCAAAAAATAAAATTAATGCTGGGAAAAGGAGAAGGGAGGGGCGATCGATAGTAATAAACCGATTTCGAAGGTTTTGAGAGGTGGGTATTAAATTGTCATTGATTCTTGCGTAAGGAGGATCTAATTTACTCGTCTGATTTGACACAGTGGAGCGACCTCAGATATGAGTTTGTCAGCACCGATTTTTTTTAAAAAGGTTTAAAGCTGTGATTTAGGATTATAATTTGGAAAGTGTGTAATAACTAAGTTGTGTGGGAGAGTATATTAATACGTAAACGAAGAGCAAACTTTTGCTGAAAAATCTGCTTTTGGTCCCTGAAGTCTATTTTCAAATCAGCAGCTTTGTCTCTTCATTGGAGGAGAGGTCTCGTAGGTGTGGCAGTTTGCCCCCCCGCAGCCAATCGGTGTTGGAAGGCGTGTTCTGGGCAGCCAATAAGGGGGAAAAGGAATGACTTTTGGAAATACTCTTTCCTTCCAGCTCTTTTTCCTGGAGGACTAGGAGTTGATTGAAGCGGGGAGAAAATGGATTGGTTTAAGACGAGCGTTCCCTTAAAGAAGGGACCTTGGAGATGAGTGGACTTCAGTTCCCAGAATCCCCCGTTCTGCAAGCCAGAAGGGGAATTCTGGGAGTTGAAGTTCATAGATCTTGAAGTTGGTTGAAGGAGGTGTTCCCGCACCTTGATCGGATGAATTACGATGGGGATATAACCTCTTTGCCACTCTGCAGCCATCTTTTCTTTTGGATCTTCGGCCTGCCACAGTTTCTGTTATTCTACTAGGCATTTTTCTATTGTGGGAAAATGGGAGGGGAGATTGTAAGGAGTTAGATGTGATGTAGCCATAACAACATTCTTTCTAGAAANGCCTGAAGCCAACTCCTGGTCCCGACAAAAAACCCTTTTATTGGTTTACTGTAAATTCTGCTCATTCACATCCAGCAAAGTCTTTCAAGGGAGGATTTATAGTCACAGCCCTTATCTGGCTTGGAGAGCTGCCAGGCCGATATCTGCAAACTTGGCAAGGAGTCTCGGAGAGTCATCAACCAATTAAGCGAACTAATGGTCTGCAAACTCCACTCCCCTTTTGCTCCTCTTTTATTCCCCCTGGGAGGAGCCATTCATCGTCCATCTGTGATCTTACTCCCAAGTTGACACCTGTTCTTTGGCTGTTCCCTTCGGCTGCTTCTTTGTGCATGCGCACACTGGGAACAGGCTCCAGC